CTGGTGCTTCACCAGGTCCGAGCGCCAGCTGAAGCGCTTGCCGCACTTGCCGGCGGGGTGGGCTCAGCGGCGGCGCTGCGGCCCTTCGCGTGTGGCGAGTGCGGCAAGGGCTTCGTGCGCCGCTCGCACCTCGCCAACCACCAGCGCATCCACACGGGCGAGAAGCCGCACGGCTGCGGCGAGTGCGGCAAGCGCTTCAGCTGGCGCTCGGACCTGGTGAAGCACCAGCGCGTGCACACGGGCGAGAAGCCCTACATGTGCTCCGAGTGCGGCGAGACCTTCAGCGTGAGCTCGCACCTCTTCACGCACAAGCGCACGCACTCGGGCGAGCGGCCCTACGTGTGCCGCGAGTGCGGCAAGGGCTTCGGCCGCAACTCGCACCTCGTCAACCACCTGCGCGTGCACACCGGCGAGAAGCCCTTCCGCTGCGGCCAGTGCGAGAAGCGCTTCAGCGACTTCTCCACGCTCACGCAGCACCAGCGCACGCACACGGGCGAGAAGCCCTACACGTGCATCGAGTGCGGCAAGAGCTTCATCCAGAGCTCCCACCTCATTCGCCACCGGCGCATCCACACCGGCAACAAGCCCCACAAGTGCGCGGGCTGCGGCAAGGGCTTCCGCTACAAGACGCACCTTGCGCAGCACCAGAAGTTGCACCTGTGCTAGGGTGGGGGTCCCAACGAGTCCCAAGGCTGGGAGTAGATGGCTTGGTTACTGATCCTGCAGATGTGGGGGAAGGAGCGGGAGGGACAGCCTAGGAGTGTCTTTTAATGTTTGCCCTCCTCCCCCAGGGAATGGTTAATAAGAGTTGTCATTTCGAGGTGCCTACCTCCTCCATCGAAGTAACTCTTAGGAGATGTGCTTGAGGTGATGGCTTACTTAAATACTCACTGTAAGGAGTGAAAAGCTTAGGTGAACAGATGCTTGGAGCATCCCCGAGGAAGGGGATTTGGGACTGGGTAGAGAGGGTTAAACTGCCGTGTTTCTGGGAACCAGGAGAGGTGATTGGTTTAGAGTTACGGGGGTACAAAAATACGCAGGTAGGAATAAGCCTGTGACACCCCTCCTCTCAGCTTTAGTCAGATCCTTCTCATCGCTATAGAAGAGGGTGCTTAGTATCCACTTCCTTTCCTATGAGCCACAGTGAGCTGCTATTTTGAGACATCCAGGGAAAATTGAGCAGAAAAACTGCACAGTTACTTCAGGAAGCAACCTTGGGTTTAGACATCCATTAACAGCTGGTTCCCAGATTTGTTCGGAAATTCTGCACTTGCTTCTTCATGTTGGTTCAGGGTTGCCTAGTTGGATGGATGACCCTGACCCCCATGTAAGTCAGGACTTGGCCGGTCTTAGTCCGACTTGGCAGGTTTCAGAACTGAAGACCGTCAACAGCTGCCTGAGAAACCTGTTCACAAGACACAGTCAGCTCAGTTTTGCTGGCTTCACGTGGAAAACACAAGAATGCTGAGTTCATAGGCTGGAATGCCTTCATTTGCATGTGTGTGCCCTGACCCCACAAACCCCAACTTCCCTCACAAGTTAATGAGGGATCTAGTCCAGACAGGGGCGTCCATTTTTTCTCTCCACATATGAGAGGCACTGATTCACACGTGGAGGGGAGAGACAGGGAGAGGTGAGAATGCAAAATGGCCAAATAGCACAACGATGAATGTTCTCTAGTTACACAAATGCCAAAAGAGCACTTTCATATTTACAAAGTGTTTTACGCTTTCCAAGTGTTGCTACTGTTTCTCACATGCTCAGGAGGTCAATCAGTATTACCAACTCTGGCTTGGGAAAAATCTGGGGTCGGAGTGTGGTGAGCCTCCTGAAGGAAGGCTGAGGACCGTGGATGGTGGAGCCTGACCTTTTGTGTTCTCCAGCTCGGTTGCTAGGATGAGTTACGTTCTCTGATTTATATAATACAGCAAGACCACTGAGCATTCTTGTGCTTGATGGGAGACATAAAAGCCTAGAAGGACCAAAGATGTCCTTATTGACAAAGCTGGCCTTTGTCGCAGATTCCAGTGTCCTCACTATGCTCAATTTCTGGTAGGCAGATAACTTGTATAGAGTTTGGTTACACTGAAAACCCTTCCCCTAGATTAGCCTGTAGAAGTCAGTGGCGTGGCAGGCGGTGAAGTTATCGTCACTGAAACTTATCCTAGACTGTTCATGGAACCTCCAACTGTTGGACACAGTTGAAAGGGGAAAACCATACAATTGTTTTTACAGTTTTAGTGAAGTTTCTGTGAATGCTAGTGATTTATACTTGATCATTTGTGTTTTAGTAATGATCTTCTTTACTGTAGGGGGCTGTAGGAAAGCATGATTTCTATCATTCTAAGAACAATCTGGAGAACATCTGGGCTTGTATATTGCCTGCTGATCTTGTCCACTGAAACTGTTTATTGTTCAGAGATACTCACACTAGGGAGAGTTTTAATTTTTTTATTTTTATTTTATTTTTTTTTATAAAACTCGAGCTCTCTCCAGTCCTCTTTGAGTGCAAAGTCTGTGCCCATTGTTTATTCTGACTCTTGCAGTCTGAATGCAAAGTGTATGAGATCACTCAATACAGCCAATTTGTAAGTAATCTTTAATTTTTAGTTCCTTCCTTCCTCTCTCTTTCTTCCTCCCTCCCTCCCTCCCTCTTTCCCTCCCATCTGCCTTTCTTTCTTCCTTTCTTTCTTTCTTTCTTTCTTTCTTTCTTTCTTTCTCTCTCTCTCTCTCTCTCTCTCTCTCTCTCTCTTTCTTTCTTTCTTTCTTTCTTTCGAGACAGGGTCTCTCTACATAGTTCTGGCTCTCCTGGACTTCACTATGTAGACCAGTCTTGCCTCAGTCTCACAGAGATCTACCTGCCTCTGCCCACCAAGTGCCGGGATTACAGGCAAGTCCCACTGTGACCGGCTTACAGTTTTTATTTTGTTTTGCTTTATTTTTTAATATACATCTACCTCTTCTGGCTGTTTTAAATTCTCTCAAGCATGTGCCAGTGAAATCTTGTCCAACTTTTGATTCTTCATATATATTTTTAGCCGCTTTGATTTTTTTTTTTTATTTTTGCCTTTTGTTATCACCGTTACACACAGTATAGCCATTATCAAATGTGTTACACATCCGCAACTCTAGAGAGTGGGTTCAGTGAGGAGTGGATATGCAAGCTGGTGTGAAACCATGGCGGTAGAAATCCTTGGACTTCTCCCGTTCCTGTTCTTTCTGTTGCCACGGGCAAGAGAATCAGCTACTGTGGCCATATTTATGCTGAGCAAAGCCTTCAGCAGGAGAGGCCATTCAGCCACCCATGCGCTGCTCCAGTGGTGAATTTAAAATGTGATTCCATTTCTCTTACTTCTTCAGGGAACATGCCTGCATTAGGTGAGATTCCATGCACCCAGGAGGCTATTTCTCGTCTTCCGTCTTAGAATAATAGCGTTTCTTCAGGATTTCTTGGGGACTGTGGTTCATGCTTGAAATGTTAAAGATTCCTCCCTCCAACTCATGATTGATATTGGAGGCCTTTGTACTATTTATTTCCTGGGAGTTTGGTCAAAAGCAAGCTTCCTTTGCTGTCCCTCACTAAGCAAAACCCAGCGTAGTTTCTGGGCTTAACTGACTTAGTTCTGAGGCAGAAGAAGATAAGCAGTTAGCCCTTTGAGCCACGTGGTCGCCTGACAGTCTAGAGGCTGTATATATGTGAAAAGTAAAAATTAAAAAAAAAAACTATGTTCATAGACAATCTGAGCTGTGTTCTGAGTCTGTGCACACCTTTTCCTGCTGTGCTCTTTCATATCTGTTATAGTAGTGAGTAATTTAACGATCCAAGGAGTACCCGATTCCGCGTGAGTGTGCTTGTGGATGTGAGAATCGCCTTGTTTGCAGGTTGTTTTATTTAATGGTGGCTCCTTGGACAGCATCCTGGTGTTCAGCAACGAATATGGGATATTTGTCATTAAATTCCTATCAGTCTTTTGTCATTCTTTGTTATTATGCATCCCATATTTGACTTTTCTACATGGAACATTACTGAAATGCGGTTACACCCATGCAGCCATGCTAACAAACTTTCTATGGAGACTTTCATGCAAAGCTGAGTAATTGGGACAGACACCACATGGGCCATCATCCTGAAATATTTACTATCATCCTTTAAAGGCCCAGCCAAGCAGCGGGTGGAGGATAGACGTGCGACAAGAGGCAACCACAGAATGAATGCCAGTATGAGGTCAGCCTGATCCACGTCGTAAGACACTGATGCATAATTTCTAATCCGTATATGTATTTGTGCACACACACATCCTAGTTTGCTCTCTACGGCGGTGATAAAACACCACGAAGAAAAGCAATGTGGGGAGAACATGGTTTACATGACTTTTTCCCATCGCAGTCTGCCATGAATGGAGGTCGGGGTGGGAACCTCGAGATGGGAACTGAAGCAGAGGCCACAGAGGACCCTTGCTCCCTGTGGCACTGACCACAGTGGGTTGCTCCCTCCCACCATCAACCATTATTGAGGAAAGGTCTCACAGGCTTGCCCACTGGCCAGTCTTGTGGAGGCCTTTTTTTCAGTCACAGTTTCCTCTCCCCAGATGATGTACATATGGCCTAGCCAGCACAATGGACACCTTGTTCTTTATCCAAACACACCACTATTAAGCCAACATTCTCCCTCATTTTTTGTCACCAAGATCTCAATGTCATAATATAAAACAGTATAAGTTTAAAAGCCCAGCCATCTTTAAAATATTCAAACACTTTGAGATCTCCAGCTCTTTAAAATATACAAAGCCTCTCAACTGTGGGCTCCTGTATAATGAAATATATATAATATGTGTTTTCTTATTCCAAAGAAAAGAACCAGGACACACTTCGAATCAGATCAAGGCAATCCCCACCAGTATAAATACTTCCGTGTTGGATGTCTGGAACTCACTCATGGTCTCTGGAGGACTCATGCATATACACAATTGTTGAAGTTGCTGAGTTCGACACTAGAACACTGGGTAGATCCCGGGTTCTCCCAGAACCGGTTACCGACTGAAGTTCACATAATTTTCCCACTCTTCACAGTAAATCAGTGCAACGCAGAGAGGCTAGTGTGCCTTTGGGGGAAGGGGGACGTCTTCACATTCGTATCACTGCTCTCTGTTCCCAGAGAATGGTCTTAGCAGTCTGTGGATGGTGATGGTTTGAGGGAAGGTTCAAGAAAAATTAGTTATTGAGAAGAGAGGAGATGATAATATGTATTCCTGAATCTCATAACAGAATTTCTTTGGCCTTGGCTTTCACTAGTTTGTATTAATGATTACTGATAATTCCTAAGAGACCTCACCTTAGCTCGGTGGTTCTCAGTCTGTGGGTCATGATCCCCTTGGGGGTTGAATGACCTTTTCACGGGGTTGATTAAAAACATTGGAAAACGCAGGTGTTTATGATTCCTAACAGTAGCAAAATTACAGTTATGAAGTAGTGATGAAAATAATTTCCTGGTCGGGGGTCACCGCAGCCTGAGGAACTGGATTAAGGGGTTGCAGCGTTAGGAGGGCTGAGAAACACTGGCTGCCTTAGCTAGCCTGAGCCCAGCCACATGAAAACGCAGACTTAGCAGCTCCTAACGAAGAGATCTTGAAGAAAAAATGCTGAGAATTTATTACTGTATCTTTTAACATTCGCAGTGACCGCCTACTCACCAGGGCCACAGGCAGGCAGGGAGGAGGCAGAGAGAGAGCTGTGTCTCTCACCAAGCCTGACTTTAATCGGAGCGGCTATTAGTCCTACAAGCATCTCAGGATACCGAAATGAAACCCAGAGCTTTGGCATGGGCGAGCCTGGTAAAGGATGACCTTGTCCTTCCCACCCTTCTGGCCTCCGATTCACAAGTACCGGGGTGATGGCTGTATACTATCACACCTGGTTTTATACACGGCTGGCGATTGGACCCAGGGTTTCATATAGGTTAAACAAGCCTTGTCCCAACTGAACTGCATTCCCAACCCACAGCTAAGCCTCTCTCCACAGAGGGCAGCGGGGGCGGTGAGGAGTGGTGGTATACTTGTGATCCCATCACTCGGGAGACTGGTGGGATTGGAGTATCTTGAATTTTAGGCCAGCCTCAATAACAAATTAAAGGCCATATAACAAGCAAAACTAGAAAATTGGTGTTTTGTTTCCCGAG